CTGGGGCTGGGTTTGAACCCGCCACCTCTGGTGTATGGGGCCGACGCCTTACTCCTTTGAGCCACAGGTGCTGCCCTCACTACTTTGTTTTAAATAGCCTTTATTTACTATAAGTAAACATATGTGCATACAATTTGGAAGTTAAATATACTTTTGAAATAGTACTAATAATCAATGTTTTGAAAAGTAATCTAAAGTTCTGTTTTTCTGTACAAATCTAGAACTAATGAGTAACTTATGACTTCCTCTTATGTATGAAGTTAAGTGAACACAAAGTTTTACTCCCCTGTGTCCTTGCTTTTGTTTCTGTAATATCAGCTATTAGACTTCTAGTTTTTACTCTTTGAAGTTTTTTTCTTTTAATTGTACATTTTGGCTATTGCACTCCCCCTCCCCCATTAACTATATAATTTTAAATATGTTCAACTTGTTTTTGTACCTAACTCTTTTCCTCCAACTACATAATTAAAATTCATAAAATATTTTGCTTTGCATTCCCACCAGCAATATAGAAGTGTTCCCTTTTCTCCACATCCACACCAACATCTCTGGTTTTGGGATTTTGTGATGTGGGCTAATTTTACTGGACTTAGATGTTTGGAGAACATGTAGAGATCTAAAAATAGACCTGCCATTCGATCCTACAATTTTTCTACTAGGTATATATCCAGAAGACCAAAAATCACATTATAACAAAGATATATGTACCAGAATGTTTACTGCAGCCCAGTTCATAATTGCTAAGTCATGGAAGAAGCCCAAGTGCCCATGGACCCATGAATGGATCAATAAATTGTGGTATATGTACACCATGGAATATCATGCAGCCTTAAAGAAAGATGGAGACTTTACCTCTTACATGTTTATGTAGATAGAGCTGGAACTTATTCTTCTTAGCAAAGTATCTCAAGAATGGAAGAAAAGTATCCAATGTACTCAGTCTTACTATGAAACCAATTTATAGCTTTCTTATGAAAGCTATAACCCAATTATAGCCCTAGAAGAAGGGGAAAGGAGAGAGGGAGGGGAAGGGAGAGGGGAGGATGAATGGAGGGAGGGTAGTTCGTGGGACCACACCTACAGTGCATCTTACAAGGGTACATGTGAAATTTACTAGAGGTAGACTATGAATGTCTTAACACAATAACTAAGAAAATGCCTGTGAAGGCTATGTTAACCAATTTGATAAAAACGTTTCAGATTGTATACAAAACCAGCACATTGTATCCCATAATTGCATTAATATACACAACTATGATTTAATAAAAATAAATAAAACAAAATTTATAAAATATTTTAAAAATACAAAATACGTGTATAATATCTATCTTGGTTATGAAGTTTCACATTCAATTTTGAACTACATCTTCAGATTTGTTCGATGAAGTAATAGAAAGTTTCCCACACAGAAAGATGTAGCTTCAATACTTTCTTGTTAACTTAAATCTATTTTTTGGAGGAGCTGCTTTGCTGAGCAAAGGGGATGGAATAGACATGGTTAAAAATATAATGCAAAGTGATTGAAGCCAGACACAAAAGACTACAGAATATATGATACAAGGAATTAACAATAGAAGCAGGAATTAACTAAAAATGGATGCAAGAGAACTTTTGGGTGTGATGAAAGTGTTCTAAAACTGAATTGGGTGATGTTTGCATACTTTTATATGTGGTGATGTTTGCACAATTTTATATTGTGAAAATTCATTGCATTATATACATGGCCATGGATGAATTTAGAAGGATATAAATTACACTTTGCAGAATTGGTAAGAGTTAAAAAACCTAGAGATAGATGCTTGACTTCAGTTTGGAATAAATACTCAAAGAGGTAATTGATACACAAAAACTACTTTGAAAATGTCACCCTGTAAGGCTACACTTGGCTAGCAGTAACTCTGCTACTTTTCCTTTCTACTCAAGCAACACTGTATGTACATTTTTGTTACAGCTCTTTCCAACAACTGATCCTGTGGGCACTTTGCTCCAAGTTCCAGAACAGATTTCTGCTCATCTACCTCAGCCAGCTGGGCAGATGCCTACACAGCCAACTCAAGTCTCTCTCCCACCCCCTGCAGAGCCGGTAAAATCAGCTCAGGTAAAGTGGGGATGTGCTTTAATGGGCATCCTTGTGGCTAGCTGAAAAAACATATTAATGTCGAACAGAACCTAAGGTAATCAGGTTGATGTCTCCTTGGTAGATTTTGAAACAAAAATTCTGTCTTTACCTTTTTTTTTTTCTTTGTGTACAGATGAGAGAGTTTTATAAGGATCACTTAGGTGTTTAAGGAACAGAATAACTTAATGATGGAAATACTTAAAATATCAAATATTTTTGGCCAGAGGGGCTCAAAGATGGCAGACTAGAGACATTTCCTCATTAGCTGGATCAGGGAGAAGAGACTCTAGGCAGCTCCAAATTATATCCTCTTGCCCAGAAACACTACAGTGGAATAGTAAGATAGGGTGCGATTCCAAGAGCCAAAGAGGTCACTTCAACACCAAAGCATAGAGACAAGGAAGACCAAGGAGAAGGAAGAAGTGAGAGAAGTAAGTAGGGAAATGAAGTGAACAAGACAAAAACACATATGAGGAGGAACCAACAAAAAAATTCTGGCAACATGAAAAGCAGGAGCAGATTAACCACCCCTAAGGGATCACTAGGCAGTTCCCAACTATAAAAAAATTATGGAAATGACAGAAAGGGAATTTAGAGTATGGATGGCAAAAATGATGAAGGGAATTGAAAGAAGTGGGAAGCCACCAAAAGGAAATCCAGAAATTGGGCCAAGGAATGAATAAAAGATGTAATGAAATTAGAAAGTATATATCAGGCTCAGCACCCATTTGCTCAGTGGTTAGGGCACTGGCCACATACACCGGGGCTGGCGGGTTCAAACCTGGCCCAGGCCTGCTAAACAGTAATGACATTTACAACAAAAAAATAGCCGGGTGTTGTGGTGGGTGCCTGTAGTCCCAGCTACTCGGGAGGCTGAGGCAAAAGAAATTGCTTAAGCCCAGTGTTTGAGGTTGCTGTGAGCTATGACATAGTGAGACTCTGTCTCCAAAAAAAAAAAAAAGGAATATATATCAGAGCTTAAAGAATTGAAGGAGTCATTCAGGGACTCCTGAATGCAGTTTCAAAATGCAGTAGAAAATTTCAATAACAGATTAATCTATGGAGAAGAATTTCAGAGCTTGAAGATAGGACTCTTGAACTAACTCAGTTCATTTAAAGAGACAGAAAAGAAGAGAGTAAAAGCAGAGCATCTCTTAGAGAATCATGGGACTTCATGAAATATACAAACATATGAATTATAGGTATCACTGAAGGATAACAATAATGACCCAAAGTATGGAAGCCTTAGTTGATATTGTAACTAAAAATTTCCTAAGCATTGCCAAAGATTCAGACACTCCTTTTCAGATGGATTTCAAATCCTGGTTTGTCTCAATTCAAACAGACCATCTCCTAGACACATTGTAATGAACTTGGCCAAGGTCAAAATGAAGGAGAAAATTTTGCAAGCAGCCAAGAGCAAGCACCAACTGAACTACAGGGGCAGATCTATCAGCATGACTGTGAATTTCTCAGTTGAAACTTTATACACCAGACTTTATACACCAGAAGAGATTCCTGCCTAGGATTCTGTACCCTGCTAAACTAAGTTTTATGTTTGATGGAGAAATCAAATCATTTACAAACATGCAGTCGTTGAGGAAATTGTCAATATAAGACAAGCTAGTTCTGCAGGAAGTACTTAGACCCTTACTCCATAAATACCATCACAATGGACCAACAGCAAAGTAAAGAGTTTCTCCTGGAAACTCAGGAGATCAAAACCATCCTGAACAAAAGCAAGATCCTGTCACTACCAAAAATAGAAAAACTAGCTGGATATTGTTGTGGGCGCTCATAGTTCTAAGTACTCAGGAGGCTGAGATGAGGATTGCACGAGCCCAAGAGTTCAAGGTTGTGAACTGTAATGTTATGATACTCTATCCAGGGTGACAGAGTGAGACTCTGTCTCAATAAAAAGAATTGCATTGGCTATTTGGGTTATTTTCTGGTTCTATAGGAAACACAGAACTACTACTTCAAGTTCTTCATACTTGGTCTTAAGCAAAGACTCTGGAAAATAAGTTACTTTTAACTGCCATACCCACTATTATGAGCATCTCAGTTGCTACACATGCAGATTGGTTAATAGGAATGAACTTGTTACATTTCCCCTCATATGTAAACTAAACTTTTGTTTTTGTTTGTTTTTTGTTTTTTGAGATAGAGTCTCACTATGTCACCCTCGGAAAAGTGCCATGGAGTCACAGCTCACAGCAACCTCAACCTCTAGGGCTTGAGCGAGTCTTTTGCCTCAGTCTCCCAAGAAGCTGGGACTACGGGCACCTGCCACAACGCCCAGCTATTTTTTTTGTTGCAGTTGTCATTGTTGTTTTAGCTCCTCCGGGCTGGGTTCGAACCTGCCCGCCCTGGTGTGTGTGTGGCTGGTGCCCTAGCCGCCGAGCTACAGGTGCCGAGGCTGAAAACTTTTTTTTATCACCTCCAGTACTTTCACATTAAGTCCCTTTTTATACCTCATTATGTTACATACACCAAAAACACCTAATACACTGACAATTTTTTTGCCCAATTTTAGGAATCTTCTCTAGGTTCACTGCAATTAAATACCATAAAGAACTCATATTTTACTAGTTATCCTGTGGTCCCTTCCACAGGATTTTTTGCCCAATTTTAGGAATCTTCTCTAGGTTCACTGCAATTAAATACCATAAAGAACTCATATTTTACTAGTTATCCTGTGGTCCCTTCCTCCAATTGGCCTATCATACCAGGACACCAAATTTCAAGAGATAAGTGACTTTCTAGAAGCCACCTTGCCTAAAAGTTACACACATGAGGCTCGTTGTTCAGAGCTCCTCATATATGATGAAACTCTCATACAACCCGTTTCTTCATCTGTAAAATGAGAAAATAGAATCTACCAAATTTGTGAGAATTAAACAAAAAGGTGAACATGCAGCATCTGTTTAACGGCTCTCTCATCACCAGCATTGTCTTACTGCTTTAACTACTATGGCAGCGCATGTACTCATGGTTGCTACAAGTTAGTAAGAATACAGAGGATGCCAAAAAATATGTATACACATTTTAAGAAAGGGGAAAGACTGTATTAAAATTGTAATACTCAATATTCATCAATCACAAAAGATGAGTACAAGTCACGTTTGACACCTGCAATTATAAGAGGTCTGCAAAGTGGTTACCATCCATGTCCAGACGTTTCTGGTTACGATGAGCCTATTGCTTGAGCAGCATTGACCAAAGTGTCCGCTTGTATTACTGTGCATGCTGTTTCTATTTCTTCTTGATGTTCTGCTAACTTACAGTACTATATATCCTGTAAGGTCCCCCTATAGGTAGAAGTTAAGGGGTGTTAAGTCAGGAGAGTGTTTGGTAGACTTCTGTGGTGAGCGTGTAAACTGTACCAACACTATCGCAGAAGAGGCATGACTTGTTGCTCTGGGAGGCCTCCTGGATTTTCTCTATCACACACAACATTGTGTGTCTCAAATTTATCCTGGACGTGTGCAGTTGTTAGGCATGTTGGAGGTTCTGTTGCATATTCACACCTCTATGGCTGTTGGACTTCCACGATATTCTCAAATTTCAAATATCAATGGCCAAATGGCCTTGTGCTCTTTGAATGACAACTATAGTTCCCTCATTTTCTTTGACTGTCCTGCTTGCAGTGTAGTGATGCTAGTATTAATTTGATTAATACCATTTTAATCCAACATCATACTACAAACTGCTACCATAATTAAAGTTAGCTTCGAAATGTTATATGTCCTACATAGATAACATCTCTTAAAATATGTATACATTTTTTTGGCACCACTGTATTTGGCCTTATTATTAGAGACACTTTCTTAATTGTAACTGTAGAATGATAGTTGGTATAAGTCAGTTGAAATACCACCACCAGAACATCCCAGCTTCACTGGCTCGTGCCTGTAATTTTCAATTATCCAACTGTGTGGGACAAAAAGACTCCACTGGCACATTTTTTAAAGGGAGAAACCTAGCTTCATGTTTTTCACTCTTATAGAAAGGAACAGGGGTCTCAAAAATACAAATTGTAAATGTGGCTATGTATGGTATTTCATCTGGGTTTGAAATTGTCTTTCTAATTGTGTTTGACTTAGGCTGACATTCAGCTTTTTGTTGCTGCCTTATAGTGCTTGTCCTCCCACAGCACTACAGCAGGGAATGTCCTAGGGATTCGGGTGACCTCAGCTGGAGTTGAAGAAAATTGGTGCCAAGTGGATGATTCCTTTGCAGATGACATTAGTCACCTTCACACTTAATGTTCCAGGCATTGACTTTATACCTTTCAATGCTTTTTAGGCTTTGTCTTCAAGAGCAGGTTTACAAGAAACCAAGATCCCAATCAGTTTAGTACTAAGATTAAGGTAAGTAGACATTTTTTGTTCTCTAAATATTGTACATATACAGTAATAGTGGGAGCTAAGAGTAATTGGATAGAATTGTGTCCTTTTAGCATTGAGTTATTTGCTTGCACATGCATTATCTTGCTCAGAATTAATATTAACAGTGTGAAAATCAAATGTTAACAGTGTGCAAATAACTAAGTGATGCACACATTCTCTTAGTTATTTCTACACCAATGATGATGAATTTGTGAATTTGTAGTATAGCTAGTTTGGGTTGGGAAGCATTTTCTATAACTGAGGAACAGTTTTTAAGAGAGCAACATTTTAGCTGCCTTATCTGAAGATTAGTGTTATAATTGTGACCAAATAAGCACTGTTGGATTCCAAGATCCACTAAGCTAAGAGGGAAGGGCTTTTTGATTGCAATAGATATAAAGGTCTTGTTCTTAGAAGATAAACAGAAAACCTTTAAATTTGTTTTTAGTTTATTTCTCTATTTTACGGCAAATATTCCAAATTGGTGATTCTTGGTAGGGGCATATAGTGAGGTTGTGACAGATTGCTCGCAAGGAAATGCCATAGATAGCAGTCTGTTCATTTTAATCTCTTCCTTCTTCCAATTGTTGGATTAGGATTCCAGCACTTTTTTGTCAGTGTAACTATGGCTGTTGTATTGCTCTAATGAGATTTCTTTCTACTCATAAGTGCATTTGAAAAAAAAATTAGTAATAAAGTGTCACCTGAGACATCACAGGCTTTTTTAAAACTGTTACTAACATTTAAAAAAAAAAATTCCACTGAGTTATCATTGACTCATTTCCCTTCAACACATGAGTTTCTAGTTTTCTTCTTGGTAGGGTTGTAATTAAACACAGAGGCAGCAAGAGCTATTTGGAGAATGTTTTGATCTTACCAGTAGGAGCTTGAAATTGTGCCATAAAAATGAAGATCAAGTTATTTTTCCTTTACCGAAGCCAACTCAGTGTACCTGAACACCTCAAATAATTATGAATTAATATCTTGGTAATTGTGTTGTGCCATTTTAATTACACATTAAGAATACCATTTGTCTATTAAAAAATGGTTTGAGGTCTTACAGCACTTAATATACAGTACAGAAATTCTATTTGATGTGTGCTTCAGGAATATGGAGAAGATACTTTTAAGTGATGTAGTTAGCTTTCCTGAAAGTGGTGGTTTAATGAACTGTGTTCCAGGCTCTTTATGGAAATAGGAGGCTGGATTCTCATTCTCAATGATGAAGACTTTAAAATTAAATGACCAGAGAGATGATAAGAAACACATTTAATCCACTTTGCCATGTTGTTGTCTTTGAAGGTATTATGCCTGGCATTCCAATTCAGTCACTAAACTTATGCTGAACAATTTAATCTGAATTTTTTTCAATTTCCATGAAATAGATTGAACAGTTATATACTAAGCGCAGAGAATATAGAACACTTTCAGATATAGTGGATGGATACCAAAAAAGAGAAAATTTAATGGCTCCCTTGATAATAAAGTCAAAGTTTGAAGTTGATTTGTAGTAGATACTTAACACAGCCAAAAGCAAATTTCAGGTATTATAAGTACTTATGCATAAGCCTTTATGTACCAGTGTAGAGAGAGGGCAATCCAAGGGAAAATCATTTGAGGGATGGTTGTATTTGAAATGAGTAGTTTTGGCTAGGCACTGTGGGAACTGTAATCCTAGCATTCTGGGAATCCAAGGCAGGTGTATTGCTTGAGCTCAGGAGTTTGACACCAGCCTGAGCGAGAACCAGACCCCATCTCTAAAAATCGCCAGGCACTGTGGCAGCACCTGTAGTCCCCAGCTACTCGGGAGGCTGAGGCAGGGGAATTGCTTGTGCCCAAGAGTTTAAGGTTGTTGTGAGCTGTGATGCCAGGGCTCTCTACTGAGTCAACAAAATGAGACTCTGTATCAACAACAACAAAAAAAATGAGGTCTTTTAAGCACAATTTCAGTAACATGCTCAAGTACTATTTGTCAAATAGATATAAGCCTTCTGTGTTGTTTAGATAAAGTAGATTTAGGTCCTAAGTTATCAGGTATGTCTGGCTTTAGATATAATGTTCTGTTTTCACCTGATTAATCCCATTACTTGATGTAGTGAAAACTATAACTGTACCTTAGCAGTCACATATTTGAGTTTCTAGAGTCATATATTAACTCTGCTTCCAGTATGGGCCCAATTTCTCTTTCCATCTTCTCTGCCTACCAAAATCCTGCCTACTACCCACTAAGTCCTATCTGAAAACTAACTCTAAAGTTTGTCCTCATCCTTATTTCTTGTATTTTCCTCTGAACTCCTGTGGTATTTGAGGGAGAATCGTGTATTTCATTTTATGAGTCTAGTGAGACTGATCATCAATGGTAGGCGAGGTGCTCTCCTAGACAGAGTTGGGCCTATGAGAATGGGGATAAGAATGAAAAAGGCATCCTTTAACATTTTTAGTCGCATTTCCTTGTATTTATACATATTTTCTTCTTAGTTTGATATATTCATCTTAGAATAAGGATGAGAGTGGTCACATAAGAATCTCCTCAATGGCATGAAATATTTTTATTGATCAATGAGGGACATAGATTAAAAGGGTTGTAGGACAATTAGATGATCATTCTGCATTGTTTGTTCTGAGCTTTGCAATGTGAACTAATCAGGATAACTCATATCTGTGGGAACAGAACAATCTTTCTTGAGGCACAGTGTTCCTGTTTTGTGTTGGCAGAATCTCCAAGCATAAATTCAGAAATTTCTTACTTTACACATTCTGCTTCCTTTCATAGGAATTCAAAGAAAGAACTAAATGATATACGATTTGAATTTACTCCTGGGAGAGGTGAGACATCAAAATGATTGAAAACAAAATAACTTTTAATTTGTTACTTAATGAAATATTAAAGTTTTTGTCCTTTAGAAATGTTATGACTTTTAAAGGATGATAAAAATTTTCCTGGTTTGGAGAAATGTATGAATAAGATAAAAATGCAATTTTTCTACTAAACTCACTTAGAAAATCATATGTAATACAGTAATGAATATAGATTTTATTTACTGCTTACTATAGGTCAGGCATTGTACTAAGCATTATCTCACTAAATTCTCATTAGAGACCTATCAAAACTTATTATCCCCATATTGTAAATGATGAAATCAAGACTTAGAGGCAAAGTAACTTGTTCAAAGTCGTACAGCTTCAAAGAGATATAGCTAGAATTCCAATAAGATCTGTCAGAGTCCAACATTCTTGCATTTATTCACTGTGCACAGTTGTCCTCCGTGATAGTACGAGAAAACAAGACCTACATTCTCCTCTCTCCTCACACAGAAGCTGAACCCTATCATGCACTGTTTGTGGCCATGAACTTTGCCTTGAAACAAGGCTTATTTTCTTTCTTGCCTCAGGGTTCCGATTTGGCGAGTAGCCAGCAGCTATAGCTATGTCTTGTATATCACACTTACTCCTCCTGCTATCTCAGTATCATTAGCAACTAACTAAAATAGAGAACATATAGTTGCATAAAAGTATATCTGTTTGCCAGACAAAGTCACATTTTGCTGGTTATCTATATAGTGTGCATACACTTCTCAGCAATTCTCATGTTCCCTCTGACAGGCTCAGTGTTGAGAACCAGCACCATTGAGTTTGTTGGAGATGAAGTTAATTGGGGATACTCAGTCCTCATCATTTTAGTTTCTACTTACGCCCATTCTCAGACTGTACCACCTAAGATTATTAGATAAGAAGAAAAGCTGATCAGAATGAAAAAGAGATTACTTTAGCAAGAGACTTAGAGTATGATTTCCATAAAGAGATTGTAATTGTTCTGTCAAGTTTTATTTGAGAATAAATCATTCTATTTTATTTGCTATAGAGATGTTCTGCATTCAACATCATGTCTCAGAGTACAGAGAGCTGAGGTTCAGGGTTGTGCTTTAAAATAAGAGTTTCTAAATGTCTTAACACAATAACTAAGCAATACTAAGTTAACAATAACTAAGAAAATGCTATGAAGGCTATGTTAACCAGTTTGATGAAAACATTTCAAAGTGTATATAAAACCAGCACATTGTACCCCATGATTGCATTACTGTACACAGCTGTGATTTAATAAAAAAAAGAAAAAGAAAAGGAGAGTTTCTTCTGTAGCATTGCTATAGGGTGCTCTTCTGACGGGTCTGAACCTATCTAAATTACATCATTTAGAAAGTTATCTCTACAGTGAGGTGGTATTTGCTATCTGTTTCATACAGATTCTGCCCTTTAGCTAGATCTGTGAGAGTTCCTCTCTTGAAATAATCCTCAGTGGTAGGAAAAATCCTTGTGTGGGAAGAAGACCCCATCTGAATTCTTGGTTCTGTGTACTTAGCAAATAACTTGTGTCTGGCAATGCTGACACCCATGTTAGTTCTGAGAGTTACCAGTGACATCACACAAAAATGAAGCATTTTCTTTGTCCTTGCAGATACAGCGGAGGGTGTCTCTCAGGAACTCATTTCTGCTGGCCTGGTTGATGGAAGGGATTTAGTAATAGGTAACTACGTTGTGCTCTGCCTTTGTACTCCTATGTCTGTCTATATACTTAGTACTTAGAAAAGCAGGTTTTTATTTCAATGAATAGGTATTGAAATTACAGGTATTGGGGACCATTCCTTACCAGAAATATACAGTTTTCACTTTTGAGTTTGCTTTGTGATCTCTAGTGACAGTAAATGAAAGCATGCCCAGGCCTTTAGGAGACTGGTAGAAATGACAAAAGTCAGTAAAGTATGCTTGGCCATATCTAATCTATTTTGGCTGTCTAAACTTTGTGCCCCAGAGATGAACAAAAGTCATTTAGAGATTTAGTCCTAGAAGAGCAGGAAGAAAGGGAGAGGCACAGTAAGGCTACAGGTACATATTACTGAAGGCTGTTTCTCCTGTTAAAGGCCAGATAATTAATAAATACTTTAGGTTTTGTGGGCCTTCCCTTTTGGTATACATAGAGTATTCTTAATTACCATTTAAGTTTTTAAAATGTGGTTGAGATTGGATTTATATAGCTTCTCATTCTTTACATTCTCTGTTTGTGTGATTACAGTGGCAGCTAATTTGCAGAAAATTGTGGAAGAACCTCAGTCAAACCGATCTGTCACTTTCAAACTGGTATTTGTCCCCCTTATTAAAACATCTTAACTTTTACACACTAGCAGCCTCTGCAGACCAACTTGTATATTCCCTGAACAATGATAATATTAAAATATGGTGGATTGTATTCATTTAGCCTCCCCAAGGCTCTGAGCTGATGTCTTCCTTTAGCCTCCAGTCTTTTCTCCCTCTAAGAAAACCTCTGACCCCAAACTCTTCGCTATTCTAAAAAATAAATTATTGGCCAACCTTCCTCTAGCTGTGTACCCAGACCTTTTATTTTCTGGAATAAACACCTATTGCCCACTGCCTGCCTTCCTGCTGTCCCATGTCAGTTTTATTTGCTATCTGCAGTTTTGTTTTTATAAATAGTCACAGCTTCTCATTTTGTTTGGTTTTCAGGCATCTGGTGTCGAAGGCTCAGATATTCCTGATGATGGTAAACTAATAGGATTTGCCCAGCTCAGCATCAGTTAAACCACAGCCCTGGAAGAGGTGGCCTAAGGAGATTCCACACATGCGCATATCTGTTGCTTCTGTTGGCCTAAACCCACTACTGCCAAAGAACCCAGCAACGAACCTCCCAGCTAGGAGCTTTAGAGGTCTTTATGTTCTTCCTGCCATCATTCCTCCTTTTTCCTACAGGGAAAGAAAAGTCGGATCACCAGTGGCCAACATCCCCTTGAAGAGTTCCTTAGTAAACTTACTCCGAATGTCCTGTATTTTCCTCCATCTTAGAAGTGGCCCATGTGCCTCAAGGCCCAAGAGGGAGATCTGTCAGCTCATTCTTGCCTTACTTCAATGATGGCCCAAGTGAAAAGTAGTGCTATAGTGGGCTTCCTCATACTGCCTGTTCTCCCACACTTGCCAGGATGTGGGTATCTTGGGATATCTCTGTACCACTGAAGTAGCAATTGAAAGTTGATTGTTCATATGGAGCCCAGAGAATTTAATTTAGTGTTTTTTTTTTTTTTTCTTTGAACCTGATGTGAATTCTAGAAAACTTTGTTAGGAAAAAGCACAGCCTCAGATGGAGGCAGCCTAAACTGTATTCTTGTTTTTTCATGGTGTTTCTGAGCATTTTGCTGAAGCTGCTCTCAGGCACCCCCTTCTTCATTGCTCCCTCCAGAAAGGGTTGCTAGCCTTAACTTCAGCTGGTGCAAAATATCTGACCGTAGCCAAACTTCAGCCATTGGATCCTTCAACGTGAAACTTTGGACTGTGTTTTCAAAAAACATCAAGTAATGGCTTATTAAAGTGAATTTGCCAGAGGCGGTTTTTGAGCAGGAATCATAACTCAAATTAAATTGAAGAAAAACTCCTTGATCCTCCCATGAAAATCAAGTTACCTGGCCTCCAAGTCATGAGGAAATGGGTGTGCAAGGCTGAGATTTCTACAGCAATAAAGGAAACTCACACTGGGCCAGAGAGGCCTACCGTCTGCCCACTCTCCTGCACTGACCCTTTGGAGGGGGTCCTTGTGTGCTGAAGCTAACTCAAGATGGAAAGTGAAACCACATGTGCCGTGACCTTTAGGTTTTATGAGTAGACACTCTTCATTTGATTTTCTACAGAAATAATATAAATTATTCTTTAGGTTTAAAAAGAGCACTTATAATGCAATATGTGAATAATCAATGGGGTTGATTTTCTTTTTTCCTACTGTTTGTCCTCATTTATTTAACTGCTAATAATTCTACTGTTTTGTGTATGAATAAGATACTCGATCTGGCCTTAAAATGACACACAAAGATAGGCTATGGGCCCCTGGAAAGGGGAGAGTTGCCTCTTACAGAATCTCTCATGCCCTTTCCAGCATTGTTGGTCTGATGTACAAGATGGTTTTACCTAATTTTCTCTTGGAACATACCTTTCTCTACCACTAACTTGTCACACCTTTTGTTTCATTCTGAGCCTGTAATTTTAGTCATCTGCCCTAGGTGCAGAGACATGTTGGGAAAGTAAGGATGTTGGGGAGGAAGAAGAGGAGAATGTATTTTAGATGAGGGTTGGGAGTAGAGTAGATTAGAAAACAAGACATCAAAGTGAGAGCCTATTGAACCAGGAGGAAGAAAAGATTAACTAGCTAGCTAGAAAAATATTTAGCTTTTTTTTTCTTTTTTTCTTTTTTGGAGGGGAAGTAGGAGTAGTGTGGGGAGGGAGCAGAGAAGGGGTGAGAATGAGATGTGGAAAGGAGAGAGTGTCCTTTTTGGCACACAACTAATTGCTTACCTTAGAGTCTCATTTTTTTGGTTTCACAGAAGCCCATCATGATCTATTATACTTATTTATGAATCCAAGGGGTGGTGGCATCATTCTCACAGCTTACTATGTGGAGTTGTTCTGGCTCCCAGCTGGCTGTGAGCAGTAAACCATTCCCCTGCACTCTTTCTCCAGCTTGCCATTACCTTTGAACTGTAGTGGGGCAGGCATGACAAATAAGAAGTGGGCTGGGGGTTTCTCTTTCTTTTTTAGTTTATTGTTTGCCATGCTGGGAATTAGAAGACAGACACCAGGTTCCAGGACAGTGTTATTTCTTCTTCTGCATGATGTATGGTGGACTCCCTTTGCTGGTTTGTGCAGTGATACTGAGAAAATAAGTGAACAGAAACTATCCTGGTGGGACAGCACATAACCTAGTGAGCGATCTCACTCCATTCCAGGAGTGGTAGTTTAGGTTGTACCTCTTTTGCTGAGTCCCCAGGATCCCCTGTCCCTGATTTAGGGACTAACTATAGCACAAAGTAATATGTGCCATGCTATTTGTGAAATGTTTGGTCTTTCTAAATGACTAATGGATTTGTTTGGGGGTTTTGCTTAAGTTTTGAACCAAATTCTAGAGTCAACTGATACTATTTAATAATCTGGAATATAGAATAATGATGTATTAATAAATGAAGATTCCTCCTTGCGACATATGCTAGATTGTGGAAGATGTAAAATATTCAACTTTTTCCTCCTTTTTTTTTTGACTTTGTATTTTATTGCATGTTTCCTTCGTTTTTAATCAATAAAAAAATAAATTGTCCTTAGTAGTATTGGATGCTTTATTTTAGTGGCTGTTGGTGAGGAGCTATGGGTTATGGGTCATGGAATCACTACTAACTTTAATTTTTCTTTTCTTTCTTTCTTTTTTTTTCTTTGAGACAGAGTCTCACTGTGTCGCCCTTGGTAGAGTGCTGTGGTGTCACAGCTCACAGGAACCTCAAACTCTTGGGCTTAAGCTATTCTCTTGCCTCAGCCCCCCAAGTACAGGCACCTGCCACAACTCCTGGCTGTTTTTTTGTTGCAGTTGTCTTTGTTATTTAGCTGGTCCGGGCTGGGTTTGAACCTGCCAGCCTGGGTGTATGTGGCTGGTGCTCTACCGATTGAAACTGCAATCATGGAGGTTAAGGTAAGATTCTATACTCCTCTGTACTCTTGTCATCCTTGTACTGGATGAATAATCTCTCTGATCATAACTTTCCTGATAGCAGTGGCCTTGGATCCATGGTAGGACTGCTTCTGGGTCCTGGTGTTTCAGAGCTCAGGGCTATAGACCCTGGGAATTAGCAATGCTGTGTGTCAGCAGTTTGAGTTTACTTTCAAGATGGACAGGTAATAAAAGTGGACTCTGACTGTTGTGGTGACAGGGAGGAGGTGCTGGTTAGGTAAAAGTGACTGTGGTGTGTGTAGAGGGAAGAGATTGAGGTCAAGAATAAATTGTGCCTTTCTACTTAATCATTCTTTCTAACAAGATCAAGTCCCTAGGCTTGGTTGCTTAGCTTTACTTACTATATAGGCAGTGCTCAGTGCAGTAGTTCAGGGATTCCTCCTTTGGGTCAGATTATCTACCCCAAATTTGTTGTTGTTCTAATAGACTTTATATGTTAGAGAATTTTAAATTACATAACAAAATTGAGTAGAAAGTGCAGAGTTCCTACATACCTCCTTAGCCTATCCGTGAACGGTCTCTTCTGCCGTCAACATACCCCATCGGAGTAGTACATTTGATACAATTGATGAACCTCCATTGACATCACATTGTCACCCAAAGTCTGTAGATTACATTAGGTTCATTCTTTGTGTTACACATTCTATGGGTTTTGATAAATGTATAATGTATAATATCATACAAAGTAGTTTCATTGCCCTGAAAATCCTGTGTGCTGCCTGTTCATCTTTTTCCCTCCCCTACAAACCCTCATGGGAACCACTGATCTTTTTACTTTCTGTTACCTTTTCCAAGATGTCATAAAGTTAAAATAGAATCATACAGTATATAGCTTTTTTTCAGTTGACTTCTTTAACTTAGTAATATGTATTTAGGTTTCTTCCATTTTTTTATAGCTTGATAGTTCATTTCTTTTTAGTAAGGAATGATATTTTACTGTACAATAGTTTATCCACTCACCTACTGGAGGACATCTTGATTGCTTCCAAGTTTAGCAATTATATCTAAATATATCTATGTGTAGGTTTTTGTGTGGACAGGTGTTTTCAGTTCATTTGGATAAATAACAAGGAGTACAATTGCCAGATTGTACAGTAAGGGTATGTTTAGTTTTGTAAGAAACTGTCAAACTTGTCCAAAGTTGCTGTACCATTTTCATTCTCATCAGCAGTGAACAAGAATTCCTATTACTTCACATTTTTAATAGTGTTTGGCATTATTGCTATTCTGGATTTGGCCATTCTAATAGATGTGTAGTGTTAATTTGCAATTCTTTGATGACATATGGTGTACATTTTTTCATATGCTAATTTACAATATCTTTGGTGAGCTACGTATTTCGGTTTTTGACCTTTTTTCCTCCAATTTTAACTTTTTCTTTTTAGGCAAGCATGGAACAAAGTTTATTGAGGAAGAGAAAGATAGGTTTACAGAGTAAGAGCACGATGCATTCACCACAGACAGCAAATGGGTCTCCATTGCCAGACCAAGGAGGCAAAGAAGCCCATATTTTAACTTTTTATTTTCAAGTAATCTTGTAAAAACAGTGTAAAAAATTCCCCTAGATCTGTCCCCAGCTTCTCCAAATGTTAACATTTTATATAACCACGTGATTATCAAAACCAAGAAATCAACATTGACCGTATAACATAAGGCTTAATCCCTAAACCTTATGCAAAAGTTGTCAATTGTCCAACTATTAACTACTCTTTTTTTTGTCCCAAGATCCAATCTTATGTTGTCTTAGTTGTTACACTTTCTTAGTCCCCTTCAATTCTTCCAGGTCTGTAATTCATCTGTAATTCTTGTAACCCTGACACTTTTGAAAAGTAATGGCTAGTTATTTTGCAGAATGCCTCTCAGTTTGGGTTTGTCTGATATTTTCTCATGATTGAATTCATATTGGCCAGGTGAGGTGACTCATGCCTATAACCTCAACACTTTGGGAGACTGAGGCAGGAGGATCACTTGAACTCAGGACTTGGAGACCAATCTGGGCAACATAGTAGAATTTGCTTCTACAAAAACAAAAATTAAAAATTAGCAGGGTGTGGTGGTGTACGGTAGTCCCTCCTACTCGGGAGTCTGAAGCAGGAGGATTGATTGTCCCCATGAGTTTGAGGCTGCAGTTTGAATATGATTATGCCAGGCACTTCAGTCTTGGTGACAGATCAAGACTTTGTCTCTTTAAAAAAAAAAAAAAATTAGGTCATGCCTTTTGGGGAAGAAAACCACAAAATTGATGAATTGATGCCAGACAATTTGCTTCATCATCAAGAGGCACATGATGCAAATGCATCTCATTACTCTTTCTCTAAACTTGAATCATCTGGTTAAAGGATGTTTGTTGGGTTTCTTCACTACAAAGTTACTATTTTTACCTATTGTAATTAATGTTTTATGTGGAGATAATTTGAGACTATATAATTATTCTGTTGCTTATCATACTTTGCCCACTAATCTTAGCATCCTTCGATGATTCTTGCCTAATGCAGTTACTGTGATTTTGCCAAATGTTGATTTTTCTATTTCCATCTTTCCTTTTATGTTTATTAATTGGAATTTTGTGAGGAAGAGTTTTCCTTTTTCCCTCACTGTGTATGAATTCAGTTATTTATATAAGCATGGACTTGCCAAACAATGAACTGTCATACTTATTAATTTTTTGCTGATGGGAGAAATGATATTGTAATGGGTTGGTTTAATCTGATTTTTCTAATTATGTGTGAGGTTGGAAGTTAAAGGAGTATTTATAGATAATAGACTTTTGATCATTTTTAAGTCAGGTAATTTGTTATCATGGAGTTTTAATAATTCTGTGTGTATTTTTTCTAACAGTCCTTTATCAGATAGGTCCTTATCAGATACTTCTCTCTTGTCTGTGGCTTATCTTCTCATCCTCTTAACATTGTCTTTCACAGAGCAGAAGCAATTAATTTGAATGATATCCAGCTTATCAATTATTTCTTTCATGGATCACATCTTTGTGTTATATCTAAAAATACATTACATGCCCAAGGTCATCTAGGTTTTCTCCTATGTTGTTTTCTAGGGGTTTCATAGTTTTGCCTTTTTTTTGAGACAGAGCCTCAAGCTGTAGCCCTGGGTAGAGTGCTGTGGCATCACAGCTCACAGCAACCTCAAACTCCTCGGCTTAAGCAATTCTCAGACTCCAAAGTAGCTGGGACTACAGGTACCCGCCACAATGCCCGGCTATTTTTTGGTTGTAGTTGTCACTGTTTGGCAGGCCCGGGCTGGATTCAAACCTGCCAGTTTAGGTGTATGTGGCTGGTGCCTTAGCCCTTGAGCTACAGGCGCTGAGCCCATAGTTTTGCATTTTATATTTAAGTCTGCAATCCATTTTGAGTTAATTTCAGTGAAGGGTGTAAATTTGTTAATATATTCAGTTGTTTTGCATGTGAATGTTAACTATAATCATGGACTCATCAGATTCTCTAGGCCAGGGGTCCTCAAACTTTTTAAACAGGGGTCCAGTTCACTGTCCCTCAGACTGTTGGAGAACTGGACTGTGGGCCCCAGGACGAGTCGGCTGCTAAGCAGGACAGGCAATGGTGGCAAAAACACCTGGTGGGCCAGATAAATGTCCTAGGCGGGCTGCATGTGGCCCGCGGGCCTAGTTTGAGGACACCTGCTCTAGGCACGTCTTTC